CGCAGATGTGTCTTTATTCATCTAAAATAGGATATATAAGATCTGAAAAATAATTCCAACAATTTCCACGCTTTTACTTTCTTAGCGGTACGTTATAAAACGAAATAATCAGTAGATTTACTGTTCGCGATACTTGGCTGTTCCTCTTCTAGGTAATTGAGAACGAGCTTTGACATTACTTTTAAATCTTTTTGTACTGGGATCCCGCCTGTGCATTTATGTGCAGCACATCAAATTCGAAGCCAGTACAAATGCGCATAATTTATTCGTCAAAAAGAGAAGGCGAGCTCAGTGATGTACTGCGTTAAATGGCGAATAATAAGTAAATACGCAAACTTCAAATTCAGTACTAAAGCGCTTCAAACAAATGGGGCATGATTGCCGTAGTGGCGGTTATTTGAATGATTCCGAAGGGGTTCTGCAACTGCGTATGAGAGGCAGTAAGTCCACGCTAGAGCTAGACATCCCAGGCTGGGACGATTTAACATAACTTTCTTCGGCTGCGTGCACTGCGCCTCACTCAGCGCATATCGCCAAATATAACACTTTACTGAGCTTGGGCCTGACAGGAATTACTGATATTGCTGAATTGTGCTCTTTTTCTAAACACATCTCATCGGTTGATCTTAAAGGAAGTGCTTGCAGTTGCAGGCAGTGGATCTGTAACTGGTCTTCATTTCAGGCTTGTTCGTCGAACAGTATTTCGCAGCTGAAGTTTTCACCAGTGCCAGAAGGTCCATCGTACGTGAATGTTATGACCACGAATGGGAAAGCGAACTACGAAAGGCTGCAGCAGCAGCAGTACGTGAACACTGCTGTGGTCAGTGGACAATTTTAGACATTCTTTGGAGGCTGCTGCAAAACTCGCCATTCCGACTCTGCTGCAGTTCACTTTGTCCTGGTTCATACCAGTTGCTTTTCATTGTAGCATTCTGATATCCTTCGATTTGCTAATTCAGCTGACTGCAACTGTGTGCGTAAAAGAAGTTGTCACAGCATGATATCACATGCTGTGTAAGGACGTGCTCGGAATGCTTGGCCAGTCAAACTGTTTTCAGTGCTCAGGAGGAATTCCTCTGATGAGGGAGACATCGGTAGCTTTTTTCTAGATAATGGTCATGGCCGAATTGATGATCTTTTTTGCCAGAAAACATATGAAATTGGCTTGCCGCTGAATTGTTGTCATCAGTAAAAGCAGTACCTCTTGCCCACATTTCAAAGTGATACTTATGGGAGTTTTAGGGCTTTTCTTCTTACCGCTTATCTTCAAAACTTTCCATCAGCTTTACACACCAGTTGCATTTCTCTTTGTTTTAGTTTTGTCGATGCCGGCAAGCACTACTTACTCTCTTCAGACTAATCGTCTTTAATTGCAAATTAAAAAATTCTCGCATCAGGCCAGCAACGAAATGCCGAACTACAGGAAATAATGCTGAGGCATATATAATTTATTCCTCATGTTCCATCATTTTTCATGAATGCGATATGAATTATTGGGCGGAGGGGGGG